CAGTCACGCAGCTCCTCCACAGCTTCTCTGTTGCTCCAGTTCTTGGATCTCAGCACAGCAGGTTTAGAAAGTTTGAGTTTCTGCCTGTWRGCTGGGATCWGGTGAATAAGAGCGTGGTYRGACAGGCCCAGAGCAGCGCGGGTAACTGCATGATACGCCTTGGTGATGGTGCTGTAGCAGTGATCAAGAGTGTTCTCCCCCCTGGTCGGGCATTTGATCAACTGTTTATATTTCGGGAGTTCCTGAGATAAGTTCCCCTTATTAAAGTCCCCGAGGACWATAACAGGGGAATAAGTGTTCTCTCTCCTCCTCTCCACCCCCAGTACCTGCTCGGCGAGTTGTCGTTGTGCCTCGCGCACGTCAGCTTGCGGGGGGATGTACACGCCGGTCGGGAGAGGAGGATGCTCGGGAGAGAGCAACATCCTGCAGATTCAGTCTGATACTACACAAGTGAAAATCATACTATTTCAAAAAAATTTCATGGCTAGTACTATCCAACTTTAGGTTATCAATCCCTGTGCTTTATTTTCAATAAAATTAATCAGATTGTATTTGTAAAGCCCATATTCACAAATCACAATTGGTCTCAAAAGGTTTAACAAGGTGCCTTTAATCCTAATCAAGAGTAAGGAAAAACTACCAAAAAACCCTAATAACCCTATTTAAAAATCATAGAAACTTATGTGAGGCCATATGTGAGGGATCCCTCTCCCAGGATGGACAGAAGCGCAATAGATGCCTTGTGTAATGGAGAACATCAGCAAAATAAAAGTATTTACAACATTGACTAAAATAAACTATTTGTAACATTATGGAAAGTAAATGAATTGTGGAGTTGTTGTCAGTAATGGTAGAGTATGTGAGTAGGCATATTGTATATCAAGCAGTCTTGTCGAAAATAATAGTCCATGATCAGCTGCCAACACGATACAGGATCAACCAATATGATTACAATCTCTGATTCGCGATCTGAGGCAATTTTGGTGTTCACTTCAGCCAGTTTCTGATTTACATCGGCAGCAAACAGTCATTTGGTGAGAAGACCGACTCAAAACAGCAGCCAGCAGTTTCTTGTCTGCTGTTGCAGGACTGTCTGACACACTTTGATCATGAAGCTGTGATTGGACGAGTCCTTTAACATGATGATGTAGACAACTGATGTGGCATCTTCAGGAATGGACATATTCATTACAATAAGACAATTGAAGTCCAAATAATGAGGCAATGTCAGCAGTCAACAGCTTAGAATGCCATGGACATGTGAATATGGTGCTGAGTTTGCCAGGATTTTGGGAGGATAAATGTTTGGGACTTTGTCATGCGATGACACAGCAATATGCTTTATGTGAAGCAGTGTTTTGGTTTCAGCAGAAAGAGTTTTAGAAAAAGGTGTAACCTCTGCACCGCTGTTGAGTGAAACTATCATGATTTGCATGTGAAAAGACACATTGTCATTTACATGTGAAAGCCCCCCTAGACCTAGGAGCAGGGGGTCAACTGCAAATCTTCTGAGGCTTGTAAAACTGCCAGTAATTGGAACCCCACATCAATTTCCATCAGTTCCTGGTAGTTTTCTGTGCTGCCTGCAAATTCCTGTGAACAGTCATTAACCTGCACTTCCACAGAAATATACAGTGCTGTTTGCTGACAAATATTCCTCTTTTTAAGCAATGTGAGACAGCTCTAGCTATAAGGTTTATCATAAAGGAAAGTTTTAAGTCTACTCTTAACAGTAGAGAGGGTGTCTGCCTCCCGAACTGAAGCTGGGAGATGATTCCATGGGAGAGGAGCTTGCTATCTGAAAGCTCTGGCTCCTACTTTACTTTTTAGACTTTAGGGACAACATATTCTTATCCGATCTCAAACACTGACCTTTTTGTTGTCTGATAAACCCACAAATCTTTCCTGTGTCTATCCCTATGGGTATTATTATGTAGTTGAAGCTTCCAATAATGAGGGAAACAGGTGTTGTTCAAAATTGAACATTTACTGTGCATTTGCAGCATTGCAAAGAACAAATAGAGTAAACAAATAAGAGAGCCTCACTTCATGCATATCGTATTCACACAAGTTACACTCGCGTCACTCTCACATCACACATTTTGTTAAAATGTGTGATGTGTGTTGGCATGGACCAGCTGTCTGCAGAGTTTGCTAAACAGAGAACCTCGTTAAAGGAGGATGTTTCTTCCCTGATCCAAGAGGCTATTAAACCGCTGCAGACTTCAATGGATACACTGCAATCAACAATGAAGTCTTTCCAGGGCCATCTCACCTCCGTTGAGTCTGTGGCTGGTGACAACTTTGAAAGATTAACGGTAGTGGAGTCTACCATTAAAACGCTTCAAAACCATAACCAGTCACTTCTGGATCGGATTGACGACCTCGAGAATAGCTCACAGAGAGCTAATATTAAACATCCCTGAAGACAGCGAGGATGGCAAGGATCCCGTTAAGTTCATGTCCGAGGCATTGATGTAAGCAATGGGCCCCGATGTTTTTCCTGCACCACCTGAATTGGAGAGAGCCCACCGGACCCCGACCTCCAGATCCGGTCAGAGATCATCCCCCTGCACGTTCCTGGTCTGTTTCTCCAGATTTCAACAGAAAGAAGCTGCATTGCGCTGGGCCAGGAATCACAAGCTGACGTACCAAGGTACCACTATAAGAGTTTATCAAGATGTCAGCACGATGCTCGCTAAAAAGAGAGCTGTGTTAAACGGTGTTAAGCAAGCCTTGTACCGGAGGAATGTCAGATTTCACCTGCTATACCCGGCCCGGCTGCGCGTGATGTACGAGGATGACCTGTTTACCTTCGACTCGCCTGATGAAGCTCAGAAGTTTGTTAAGGAGTAAGACTATATATGTCGCGGTTGGGTCTGTGCAGCTTGGAGATGGTTAACCACCTGAGCTTTTGACATGTAAGATCACATCTCCAACCCATCGCGTCAGCCAGCGGTCTTAGGACCCGAGGTATGAACACTCACTGACGTTATTGCTGGACTAATCAGTATTATACTGTACACAGGTACATATCTTGAGCTCTTCTACCTGTTGTGCACTGCTCCACGTGGTGTCAAAATAATGTTATTATTAATGACTTTGCCTTACACGGAGCACCAAAAATGTTGGTATTAATGTTGTTATTATGTACTTCCCCTCGCGCGGGGTACGATTATGTACTTTCCTTCACGCAGGGCACCATTAAATGGTGTGCTTTTAGGCATCCAATAAATGTGGCTATCACTGAATTAT